AAAGTTTTATTAGTAGCATATTTTATTTTTTATAAAAATCATGTTGTACCACAAAAATCATATGATAAATGATCTACGTATCCTCTACCCTTAAGCCTACGTATTCCGTAATTAACTTAATAATCTTGTATGTGTCAAATTTTTTTTTAAAAAAATATAGTGTAAATTTAAATAAGAAATAACTTATTTTCGCATGCTTTGCAAAATAGGATTATATTTGCCAAATATTATCATTAATGCAATGTTTTATTTTTGATTGTTGTATAAATCCAAAAAAGAAAATTATTAATGAACTTATCCAAAGTTTACAAAGTTAAGGATAATACAGTGTATATAATCATTAATTTGAATTTTTTAATGAATATTACTGTATTGAAATTAATTATATTCTTTGGCTAACTAACAGATAAAATTAGATCTTTCTTTGGAAATGAAGTTCTAGCCATTTTTGTAATAATTTTTAAAAAATTTCAGGATATTTGTACAGTATTTGAAATTCAAACATTAAATTTGTATCGAATTTGGATCTCTATTTAGCATTCGAAAACCCATTTATACTCTTTTATTAAGGCGACTTGAAATTAAAAAACCTCGTTTAACGTTATTCCCCCAAAAATTAAACAATTAACAAAGTAAAAAAAAAAAAAATTAAAAATTAAAAATTAAAAAGTATGTGTTCAATTCAACAGATCGAAAAGACGTGATGCTAACAATTTAATTGTTAACATTTCTTTTAATAAGAGTTAAAATGATTAGTTGAAATAAATTCTGTTTAAGAAAATAGAAATAAATTAGTTAATCGTCTTTAGGTTCAACTTAAACCTGATTTAGGTCCCGATGAACCTAAATTTGATTCATTTGAACCTAGTTTAATTTTAATTTTTCCTCTCCCCCCTATACAAATTTTTTAAAAAAATAACGTTAAACGAGGTTTTAATTTCAAGTCGCCTAACCTAAACATTAACCAAAACCTTAAAGCTGATTTCACATTAATCTGTCACATTTATTGCATTTTAAATCTTCGTTTGTACTTTTTTTTTGGTAAGAGTTGTTAATAAAAAGAAACGGGAGTAAATTTTTAGGAATTAGAGATACTGTACAAGATAAACTTAGCATACATTTCGCATATCTCGCGAGTCGCGCGATATGTTTTATCCCATGAGATTATTGTGAAGTTTCTGACGATCAAAAGTTCTATTTAAATTCATACTACAAAATACGAAAAAAAAAAAACGGAAATTGTAAAAAAATTGCACAATAATTAGCATACCTAATTCAATATTTCACTTTCATTTTACCAATTCCATTATTTACCCATCTAAAAAATCTTTCAACCAGCTTATTCGACACATATTTTACTAGAGTTCCCAAATGGACGTAATTCCGACAAAATTAGTCGGCACTAGCTATAATGCTAGCCGATTCGACCGAATTTCACCAACAAAACCTTCACTTAACCGTATTTTCCAAATTGTAGTACGAAAAGATAGTGCAAATGTCATGTGATATTAAGATTATCATTATTTCAGTATTACAGGATTTCAATTAAAAACTAAGTTTTTTAACACCTCGCAATGGATTTTGAAAATGAAACACCAATATTAACCATTAATCAAGAGTATGCGAAAAAATATGAAGAAAGAAAAAGAAGTGAAGAACTCTCAAAACGTAAGCTGATCCATCCAAACTTTACACTTAAATTATTTAATAATTCTTAGAATGATATGAATGCTTTAAAATAACCAGTTAAAGAAAAATATGGTGATTTGAACTCGGACGAAGACGAGGGTTCGTCGTCCTCTGAAGAGGAAGATGAATATGGCGAATTAGTAACTCCCGAAATTGACTCACAAATTATGAAGACCATTTCTGCTATAAAAAATAAAGATCCTAAAGTTTATGATAAAAATTCCAACTTTTTTGCAGGTAATAAAAAATGTATTAACCTGTGATGTCTTCATTAAATTGAATTGTTCCTTTTGCATTAATTAATTACAGATGAAGAAATACGAAAGGCGCGTCAAAATTGGTTTGATAAGCAGAAACAAAAAAAAGTACGTTTATTTACAATTTTAAAGTAGATTATGTTAATATATTAATCTTTTCTTTATATTACTGAATATAGTCCGAAAAACCATTATTTTTAAAAGACTATCAGCGCCAAATTTTACTGGAATCTAGTGATATAACTGAAGATGATATTAAACCAGAAATTGATATAATGCCAGAAATTGACTTAACACCTATGGAAGAAGAGCAAAAGCTTAAGGAAGAATTTAAAGAAGCTGCTTCTAATTTTGATTTCAATAATGAGGAGGGTGATGATGATTTTTTGGTTCATCGATCCAAAACTGCTGAAGAATTAAAAGCTGAAGAAGAAGAGTATCAAGCATTCTTGTTAGAAAGTATGGCTGTGAGTTTGTTTCATCAATTTATATATATTGATATATTATCCCAATAAATATCCAAATTTATATACATATACATATACGCATATTTAGGGAAATAGTAAAGACTCTGAGTTTATTAAGCAATGGCAAGATTATAAGAATGATACTGATGTTAACAAAGATGAGGCCTTTTTAATGGAGTATGAAATTTTTTATCATTTAAAATCTTCTGTTTAAAATAAAATATTCATGATTTATCTTTCAGTTACATACTTAACCGTGGTTGGATCGATAAAAATGCCAAACGGATTCCAACTTATGAAGATCTAATTTTGGAACATCATGACGAAGAAAATGATGAATTTGAAGAAGCTGTCGATAATTTCGAAAGCAAGTATAATTTCCGATTTGAGGAAGAGTAAGTCATTATTTATCATTGATAATTTTAAGTTTCTTGATTAGTCTTGTTCAAATTTAAGTAACCAATTTCTTAACTTTAGAGGTGGAACAAAGGTTGCCACATATTCCCGGAATGTAGTTGATTCTGTACGAAGGTATAATGCGTCAATACTAATTCTCTAAGTTTATGGTTATTATAATTATTACGATTATTATTATTATAATTAACTATCTCAATTCCATACATAGGTCAGACAACAAACGTAAAATTCAGCGTCAAGTACGCTCTGAGCGTAAGAATGAGGAAAAGAACCGCAAAATGGAGGAACTTAAAAGGCTTAAAAATCTCAAAAAGAAAGAAATTTTTGATAAATTGCAGAAAATAAAAGAAATAACGGGAAATGAAAGTACTTATATTCTTTTTTTATTATATTAGTATTAAAAAATTAGAATTATGATCAACTGCTTTATTTTTTTAGCCGTCGGATTTGACGAGGTTGATTTAGAAGAAGATTTTGATCCTGAAAAATATGATAAAAAAGTGCAAAATATCTTTGATAGTAACTACTATGCTCAAGAGGTATTTTATATATAGAGAGAGATATATATGTTCATATTTACTCCCGCAAAACTTTAACGCCTCGTCACTATTTTTAAGGCAGATGCTGATAAACCGGAATGGGAAGAAGACATTGAAGATATTGTTAATAAATACAGGCATTCTAATTCTGAAAAATCAAAAGAGGATGATTCTGAAGGCAGTGATGATAATGATGATGATGATTTTATAATGGATGCGGATTATTTACCTGGAGGTGAAAAATACGATGAGACAATAGCTAAAAAAAGTAAATTGAGAGTAAATTCTATTATATTAATAAATTTAGTTATTTTTAATGTAAAATTACCATGTTTTTTTATTGACTAATAATTTTTCATACGAAGACAAATCCGAAAGAAAAAAGGTGAAAAATGAACAGAAGAAAAAGGCCAAACAAAACTTTGACAAATACTTGGACGAATATTATCAACTGGATTACGAAGACATTGTAAATAAATTAAAATAACCTGTTTCTATCGTATTATGCTTAATTTAAATCCTAATTCTATATATATTATAGATCGGTGATACTCCTACAAGGTTCAAGTATAAACAAGTTAAGCCAACTTCATTTGGATTGACTTCTGCTGAATTCTTATTAGCTGATGACAAAGATTTGAATGAATACGTATCTTTAAAGAAAATTGCTCCGTAAGTATTTAATATATCATTAATGATAGTGGCAATAATGTTTATCTGCTATCGATATTTTTCAATAGGTTCCGTCCTGAAAATTTGGTAGAAAAGGATATAAAAAAATATTCAAAGAAAAAACGTCTACAGAAATTTCGTAAAAAACTTGAGCTTTTAGAAGAGGATAATCCACCTATAAGCAAATCATGGAGTATAAAATCAATTAAACGTAAAAATATGCAGCAAAATCAAGGACAATCTAATAAAAAGCAGAAGAATAAAACCTCCAGTACATAATAAATACTATTAGTTTAATTCTTCAACTCGTGCGTATTGTATCCCTCCTTGAAAATTAGTCAAGACGAAACTACACTCAAGCTTATATAAAAAAAAAAAACAAAAGATTCTCTACATAATCACCTGTAATAATAATTATTAATTTTTTCTTTAAAAAAAAATGAAATTATGTTAGAAATTTCCACATATTTACGATCTTTGTCAAGAACTTTCGATAGAGATTTAATTAAAATTACATATATGTATTATATATTTAGCATTCTAATTGCATTCTATAATGAAAAAAAGTATACATAATATATATTTTAGTGTATATGGAGTTGAGTCAATAGAAATCAAGCAAATATTTTTTAATAAGTTTTTTTAAGGATAACTTACCGTATAACCGCGAAATAACGCGCAGGGGTGTAATTTCAATTTTCGGCCTAAATTAAGCTTAATTCAGGCCAAACTTCAAAATAACGCCCCTGTGCGTTATTTCGCGGTTATACGGTAACAAAAATTTAATCAAAATTTAATCAAAATTTTTTTCTACAAGTTTGTAAAAATTATTTAAAAAAATTTTTATTTTTATTAAATTTTGTCAAGTTTTTCTTGTTTAAAGTTATGAAAATTATAAAAAATTTGCTTGATTTCTATTGACTCACCTATATATATAGTATTGCTATATATCAAATCTAGAATTGATTTGTGTATATATTCTAAACACTTAGTGTTAAGTTATATTGAAATTTTAATCTATTTAAGTGTTTAGAGAAAAATACAATTACAAACTTTGGCTGAATATATATAATTTGATGCCTACCAAAAAAGTTATATAAAAGGCAGGTGCTTATAAGCAAAATTAATTTTTTTTAACTTTAACACAATTTTTCACTTAGTAAAAGGTTCAAGAAAATATATTTTAATTAATATACAGTATAAGTGTAAAACTTTGTACTAAACAAGTTTATTTAAAAGATTAAAATAGGTTATTTTAATAAAAAAAAAAAAAAAGATTTATATAGATATATAAAAATTTTTAATTTTATATAATACTATATAGTTACATTATTTTTTTTAAATAACCTATATTTGTCTTCTAAGTAATGTTGATAAAAGCAAGATTTTATATATAATTATTGGTTTAAAATTAAAAAATAGTTATTTTTAACAAAGTTATATTTTAAAATTGTACAAAATTAACAAAATTTTAACTTATAGTAATTTTTAAACTAAATTTTTTTTTTGTTTAAAATTTAATTAAAATTAATAATTAAGTTTGGTTTTAAAAAATAGTTAATTCAAAAAAAACTCTTTCTAATGATCTCTTATATTAACTTTTTTACAAATATTAATTTACAAATATTATAAAATTAATATATCTATATATTCAACTCTTTCTAATAATTACTTGAACCAAATTTTTCTATTAAAAAAAAGTAGTAGTTTTTTGCTAAAGCATGGCCTGATTTAAAGAAAGTGTAGTAAGATAATATAGTAGTATTAATTTTTATATCAAGAAAGATCAACAGGCCTCTACTTTAATGACTCTTTTAAACAGTATATTTAATATGCAAGTTAAAAATAATATTGGTCAAAATCAAAAATATTATCTTTATATTATTTGTATATTTTTAAATAATTAGCCTAGATGATATAAGAGTGATAGACTATTAGCTACAACTTAATCATATAGAGATAAAAATTTGATATATTAATGATTTAAAAAAATATATTACATATTGGCTTAGATAATATATAACATCTTCAAATAATCAGCTTAGATAATATTTAAAAATAGGGGTTGGGATTTCATGACCTAGTGATCTAGACACCCAACCTTTCATAAGCAGGTTTCAAGTTCAAGTTCTAGTAGATATATTTATCTACGAATATTTGGAAATATCTGCTGTAAGAAGTCCAAGTGAATACAGGTCTGGATTAGAAATTTCCAGAAAGAGGTTCATTGTGAAGTAGTTGGCATTATGTATAACAGAGGCAGTTACAGAAAGTTTTATTATACAAAGGTTGTATGTGTAAATCTGCGATTGGCAAGTTAGCACCAACAACCTCTAAATCGGCATTGAAAATCTTGTTTAGAAAACAATTGAATAATAACTAGAATTGGAAGTGGTGAGAAATATGGTGAATACAAAGGGATCTATGATAAAGAATTGGCCTTACCAGATTTGGAACATCTCTGATACCTGTATTACTACTAGATTGAATAAGATTTCCTTATATAGAGTAAAGTTGGCAGGCAACTTGGGATATGCTTAAAATAGACAAGACATGACAAGATTATATTCAACTAGAAGTACTTGCCTAGTTACCAGATTACTAAAGCCACCTTAGTTATATATTCTTTGGCTACTTTAATAGTATAACTAGAGGTAAAGATCCTAGAATAAGATCTGGAAAAAGGAACAAGTACAAAATAGAATACAAGAACACCAACTTTAAAATACTAGAAGTAGTACAATATGTATTTCGAAAAACTCAGTTGGAAGTTTCGACATCCATAACTTGTGAAACTTACCAATTAGAAAAATATCTGTTATCAAGTCCTATATATATATCATCAACACTATATATAATAAGGAAGGTTGTGCTTGAGATATGAATTGGGTTATAGCAGCATTACAAATAATAACTTGAGATACAAACTCAGTAATAGAGACAATATATACTATACCAATCTGAAAGTAGCTATAAAGTTATACTTGCCTGGTGCCCTCTAGTAAGATCTGTAATAAATACTGTACTAGAACCATATTGGGAGTATAAGGTTATTAGTATAAGAAATATGAGAAATATATTAGGTTAGGATAAGATATTTAGTTAGTAGTACACAAAATCCAGATAATATATGAGTGAGACATGAATAGCTCTGGTAGATATAGATCATAGATAATTAGTCTAAGCTACTGTTTTATTTTTTTTTTTTTGTATTATATCTTTTTTCCACCAAATTTGTGTCTTAATCAAATTCGTATAATTTGATCTATCATCGATATCTTATGATCTTGTGATCAAAATTTAATAACTTTGATACCATTAGAATCATCTTATTGAAATGATTCAAATAGTACCAAAGTCATCAAAATTTAATCAATGCATCATAAGATATCAATGATAGATTAAATTATATAAATTTGATTGAGACACGAATTTGGTATAAAAAAGGTATATTAAGGGGATCTCTTTGGCCTGAAGAATGTTTTATTAGAATATAACCGGAGTTTTATAATGTAGTTACAACGATAGTACATTAAGCCATACGTGTACCTTTTGAGTGTCTAATTTAAGTAGTTCGTCCAAAGGTTCTACATTATCTGCTATACCTGCACCCCAACTAGGGGGTACCTATTTAAACCATCTGGTTCCAACTACCTCCATCATAACTCTAACCCAAGGGTATTACTTACTATATAGTAGTGGGTTTTGCATCTACCCTATTGGAATTAGCACTCTACCTTAGGACTTACTAATTTAAACTAATCTATCCTCAAGGTAAACCTAACAGAGCGGTATATATCCCACACATGTATTCACCTGCATGTTCTGTAACGGCTTCCTAATTAGTACATATTGACTTGCTATTCTGTATTCATATCTCACATCACCTTTTGGGTACTATCATTCTACAGATGTTTCTCAAGTACCAATCTTCCTAATTAGATACCCATTATATACTCCTTGCCCTTATTTGGTTCACAACAACCCTGATACCTATATTCAGACCATCTTTTTATCCAGATTCTTTATCGGTCCCTCCCTTACTTCCAGCCGGCAACCTGGAAGAATTGGTCTGCCCAGGATTTAGGTACCTGAAGGACGCCCTCCTCTTGGTCCATACTTTCGGAGCATATGATCTTTTCCTCTGGTGCAGCTACCCAGCGGTTCGGCTAGTGTGTTCTCCGCCATAGGATCTGGTTGCTCAGTTCTCTGATCTCAGGCCCCAGTTCGAATTCAGCCCTTCTGTGATACCGTCGAAGATCACTGCTACCTTCAGATTTGGGTCTTCTCAAATGGGTTTTCGGTTATGCTGATTCCTTGGGTTTATTGTGCCAAAGCTCCCATTACTATATAGTGTGACCGAAGTTACAGATTAAAGTTCTAGATCCAACCAATAAACATAGCTATTAACTGAACACAGGCCTATTTTTTAAATATCGTCGCTAGTGGAATTTGAACTCTAGACCTGCTACTTAAAAAGAGTGACAACTAGACCACTATACTAAGTTGCCACACCTCTCTAAGCCACTGTTTTATTAATTGTAGTATAAATATATGTTATATATGTATATACTTAATAAATAATATGAGGCAAAATCTTATTTTAAAAAAAAAATAATAATAAAAAATTTAAAAATAAAAGATTAATATATAATATCTTTAAATAATTGGCTTAGGTAATAAAAAGGCAATAGGCTATAAAATATAAATTGATTAAATAAAAATAAAAAAGCTAATAAGAGAATATTTAAAAAAAATATGCTATATATTGGTTTAATAAAAAAGATTGATATATAATATCTTCAAATATTTAGCCTAATAATAGAAAGGCAATAGGCTGTAGAATATAAACTAATTAATTAAAAATAAAAAAGCTAATAGGCAAATATTTTAAGAAAATATGTTATATATCAGTTTAATAATATATTATTATTATTTGTCACTTATGATTTTTTTTATTAATATTTTTACAGTTTATATTCTTATAGCTAATATTTTTATAACTAATATTTTCATAGCTAATATTTTTATAGTTAATATTTTTATAACTAGTATTTAAAATTTTCATGCATTGGTCCAAAGGTTTAAATGCAATCAGGTTTTTTAAAAAATTCTCATACTTGTATACTGGCCAAAGTACTTGAGTACAATAAGATTTTTTAAAAAAAATCTTAAAAAAATTTTTATTGTTACTGGTTTAAATACTTTAATACAAATAGAAATTTTTAAAAAAATTCTTAGTTACAATTCTAAAAACTTTAATGAAATCAAAAATTTTT